TGAGGTTTCGCGCGCGCACGCAATTTTAAGGCTTGACATGTTTAGTGTCTTTTTACCCGACGTGACCCATCTTTTATATTTTACCAAAAAATTGAATAATAAATGTTTTATCATTTAATATAGGGGAAACTGTTTTTTTAAAATTTCGGTAATTTTTCCTTAATATAGTAAAAAAATAAAACCCCCAGTGGTGAATAAATACCACCAAAAGAAAGCTCTCTGTCCCCAAAAAAGGGTATAAAATTCATTTCAGTACAGCGCTGCATGACGGAATAAATGTCAGTTAAAGTACCGCAGCGCTGAATACTGAAAAATGGCCTGGATGGGAAGGGGGTTTAACACCGCGGATGTCAACTGGTTAATGTTTAGGCATTAGTTTATGTTCAAATAAAAAAAACTCTAATTTATTCCTCACGTTTTCTGGAAATTTCCTGTAGACCCAATAACAAACTGCACTTTTTCTTCAGCTAACAATCTGATGCTTAGTTTCTTTGAAATATAAAGCCTAATTGGTTGCTATAAACAAATAAAACTGGAAAACCTGAGGAAGCTAATAAATGGGGTATTTTATCAAAACTGGAGCAAGCAAAATCCGGAGCAGCTGTACACAGATCTCTCATTTTCAAATATTATCTGAAGAGGCTGATCAGTTTCCATGGGCAACTGCTCCAGGTTTTGTCTGCTTTCGTTTTTGATTAACCACCCTCCCATGGTGTACAGTGGTTTGTACATTGTTGTCCTTAGTAAATTGTGTGTTTACACATTACATCTTCTGTTTCTCTTTGCAGCTGCTGTCTCGCTGTATCCAGGAGGTCTTGGATTATCACTTCCCTAATGATTTCACAGCTAAAGTTCAGGCTACCTGGGAAAAATTCCTTGTTGAAGTTTCTGGTGTCCTAACTGCCCAGCACAGTTGAATTCATCCTGCATAATGGGCTATATCTGTAATTACTGCAAGTAAAGCGATGTGCATTGGGAAGTTTTTGGAACTATTCTAATTGCAACCTTTTCACAATGGTTTTTCAGTATTTTACTTGTGGATATTGTCAACCAAAATAAATCTGGTGTTATCTTGAATCAAGTGTTTTTTTTTTTGGTTTTTTTTTTTGGTTTACCTCATCTGTTTAATTATATTTTGTTCTTTTGATAGTCTGACATTACTAGAGATAATGATGTAGTCCATTTTTTGTTTTTTTTTTTAAATATCAAACCAGGTTAAAAAAAAATCGCTCTGCAATCTGAAGAGATATTTGAACATGGGTTTGCAGGACTGGAATGTGTTTGACAAAGTTTAGAGAGACTTAACCCCCACAAGCCTTCAACTATGCAGTGTCAGATATTTTTTTTTTAAAATTATACATACAATAAAAAAAGTAATTGAAGACTACCTCCGGGGAAACCAAAAACCCTCACAATGCAAGGATTAACTACTTGTTTTGTTTCCCCATCGTCGCAGGCTCCTAAGACTGATGTCCTCTAATGCAGGGTCCAGAGCACTCTGCCTCATACTCAGAACACTGAGTAACCATCTGTGAGTGTAGGAGGGACGAGGTGAGCGCTGACCATTGGGGTATCTGGTAAATGTGCTTTACAGAATCCTGCCAACATAAATGGGCATTTAACCCTTGCAGTGCAGAGATGCCCCCACTGCAACAGGAGATGTTGTTTCCCTGGAGATAGGCTTTAACTGTAAAGCATGCTGTGCAAAGGAAGTATAGAGTGGTGTGCATTTCCACCCATTTCTAACATCTTATATGAGATATAAAAAAAAAAATTAAATAGTTTAAAAAACATTTTTCCTAAACCACAACAAAAAGCAAAAGCT